AAATGCATTTTTTGAGACGGATTTTGGAAGATTTGGAAGAACTGTAAATTAGAGTCAGAACTGGCCCAAATCGGGTTCCCGAAGGTTTTCGAGGTCGCCGATCACGATTATGATGTTCAAATTGACCCACAGCCGACCTGGAGCTCAGGAACGCCGATGAACGTCATCTCCGTGGGACTCTCCCAAAATTCACGTGGGTAAGGAGAGAAACTCGGCGCCCGGGGGTTTTTGGGTCGCTGAATTCAAATATGGCATCGGCAAACACCTGGTGCACCGGAACCTGGACGTGGACGTCATCTCCGAGAGTTTTCCTGACAAGATTGCCAAAAAAATCATTGTGGGGGCGTTTTTTGGGGCGCTTGATCCAATTCACGTCGAAAACAACCCCCTGAACACCTGGTGCACTGGAACTGCTTGAGTTCTTCATTGCCTCTAATAGGTATACTTTCATTTGGCTGGACCTGAAATCACAAAGCATCTCGGAGCATAAGTTTTGGAATCGGCAATTTTTATAATAATAATTGAATCTCCTCTCAAAGCTCCACATACACAAATTATTAAAATGACTTGAAATGTTGTCCAAAATTAGTTAAATCGATCGATTTATATTAATTTGAATTACCTTTTTTAACAGAAACCTATTATCAGGTGATTCTTGTAAAAATCTCTCAACTTCCTCTAGACTTTTTCGGACAGTATCCAACTGATTTGCTTTTCAAATATGGTATTAGATTTGAAAATTTTCTGATATTTACATTTATTTGACATTCAGTGTACTTTTAACATGGAATATACCATAACGTCGAAGGTTTAATTTTATTAATTTTATGTTCGAAATTTGCCAGTAATACCGCTTCGGACATTTTCTTCAAACTACATGACTCTTTGAATTCGTTGTAGGCAATCTCGTACTGTCTAAGTTTTTTTTCTTTGATTTGATGAATACATTGTACCTAATTAAAATTGTATTTGTAACAAAAAAAATCCCCTATATGAAATAAGCTCTTTTAAATCTTGTACTTTTCAGGTGTGTGAAATCAAATGGATAATCAAATTCCTTACATATTCAGAAGCGTCGAAATGCTATAGTTCTTACTGATATTGTCTCCCAATATTTACACCAGTGGTTGATAATCAACATTTACAAATCCTTTTACTTATACTTATAAATTAGTCGCCCAAGTTTCGTTAATTCATACCAAACAGCTTTAGAGATAATTGTGTGGATATTATATCCTTGAAAATCGTCAACAACCTACGTCTCGAATATTGAACCATTTAGAAACTTTATTGCTTAAGATCTCCCTTTTTCAGCGCAATATACTTAAGGATCACACAATCACTGTATTTAAGTGACTTAAAACGTACTTAAAAAATGTTGACACTTCGTCCAATTGAAATATAATAACTATTAGTATCTACATATAACTCATAGCTTAGTTGTTTTACTTTCTAATATGAATTAAGTTTTCTTTCTTTTTCAGTCGATTTGCTCTCTACCACTGGCGATGTAACCCTTTCATGGACGTCTCCCATGTACCCTAAGCTGTACTCGAATGACACCAACATAAATCCTCTATCACAACCAATAACCGTACAGCAAGATGCCTGGTTGGGGTCCCTCGTCACAATCGGTGCGATGGTTGGACCGTTTCCCTTTAGCTTCCTTGCCGAGAAATATGGCAGGAAAATAAGCCTTCTGTGCATAGCCCTACCTCACACAATAGCCTACTTGACTATGGCCTTTGCCAGAAATATATACTGGTTCTACTTTGGAAGAGTTTTGGGAGGTCTCGCGATGGGTGGCGGATACACGCTGGTGCCGATGTACATCGCAGAAGTGTCGAGAGACAAGAACAGAGGGGCAATGTCGCAAACCCTCAACGTATTCACGTCGATTGGGAACTTTTTGCCTTACGCCATTGGTCCATTCTTGTCTGTTAGATGGTTTAACCTGATACTGGCCGCCATCCCAACTGTTTGTTTCTTGATATTCGTGTTTGTTGGACCTGAGACTCCTCACTACTTGGTCAGTNATTGAAAAGGAAGAAATGTTACACAAATCAAATATCATTAAGATCTGAAAAATACCAACAATAAAAGCCACATTTTGTATTTATTATAATGTTGATTTAATCGTTTTAATATTTATACTTACATTATTATAGTTATATTGAATGTTTAAACAAAGTAAAATTGTTTAAAATTGTACATATTTATTTTATATGTAAAATTAATAAAAGTGACTGAATAAATATACAAATACTTAAAATATGTTTTCATTTAACTGTAATATCCAATAAGACGATTCAAAAATACTTTGAACTCCTCTTACTAAATTTCTAGTTTGATATTTAAATAAAAAAATATATGTATACGTGTGTTACAGAAAATTAGGTCAGATTGCTTGAACAAAAGTACTGAGACTTATGCCATTTTTCATTTAGACACTTTTTTATTGTACAAAATTACAATTTCAAAAAGAAAATATTCTCTTAATTTACTTAATCTGAATTGCAGAATTTAAACAATTTCATATAAGGTTTTTAAGCAAGCTCCATTCCAATATTAG